TAGTGTGTTTGGCCTGGGGGGGGGGGGCGGCGAGAAGGCAGGCAGGCGGCCCCACGCCAAGGAAAGAGGTCACATCCATATTCATCACATTGGACATGCACATGTAAACCACTTCTAATATGGCGTGACAGGGGAAAGTTGTGGTGAAGAGTCAGAGAGTGAGGGTGAGGGAAAGGCAGCACAGAGACAAATATGGAAGGAATAATTGTGAGAAACGTCCACATGTGCACTGGGCCCTGAATGACTTCCTGGATGAATGACCTGCAAAATGCAATGAGTAGAGACATGCATTCATACTGTAATTAATCTTAATGGTCAAAAAAGAGCAAGACCCAGTGCAAACAATTTAGTGATAAAGCACCTATCTGCAGTGGTGGAAGAAGTAGCTAAACTGACCGAAACACATTTAAATTCACCATTGCAGTAATGAATGCTGTGCTGAAACCTCACAGAACAGATAAGACAAACTCATTATCTGTGTTCACTTTCTAAGTCAGTTCAAAACTCACCAAGTTTTTTAATTATTCTCACCATATAGGGAAATGGTCATACAGCTATTGTAGAATATACCTAGCTGTACATAAATGGCATTTCCAGCTGATTCAAACACACATTCAACTCATATCAAAAGACTGCAGCACAAAAAAGGAATGCCTGCTATAATGGGGCACTCTGAGGTCAGTGGGGGCATACAGTATCATCTTCACATCATAACGACAGGAGCTAGTTATGACAGTGTGGCATTATGTGGCAGTGACTGAAGTTGTTTGAAGTGTTTGTGACCACCTGTCAAGCTCCTGCTTTGAAGCCGGCAGTGATGAAAAAGAAAAGAAAAAGGAGGAAAGAACATAATTCAATCAAATTATGGAGTCATGTCAAAGCAGCAGTTTAGAGACTTTGAGGAGGTAGTTTTTGTTTCGGTGTGTGGTATATCTATAAAGAGAAGGAGGCCTGCAAATCTGTTAAGTGGTGGAATGGAATTGGAAGAATAGGACCTTTCTTCAGGACACTTGACCTCCTGATACCCTGCTGGATGGCTCTTTGGACAATGCCACCACTTACTGTCTCACTGTCATGAAGCGCTGTGTTCATTCCATACCTGTCTGGGCCTACACTGGACCATCTCTGTGGTGGGAAGGGGTCACAGTGGGGGTTGGACTCAAGGGATGGGGTTTTCTAGTAACTCTACTCCTGGCTTTTCAGACAACACCAGGATCCCCTGGGCATCTCCACCCTCCATGGGCTTTAATTCCAACAAAGGTTCAGTGGTGACAGGAGCTTCCCTAAGCGGTCACATTATGCTATCGGTTTCCCCACTCTATTTGGGGAATAAGAATGTCTGACATCCCTTAAACTGGAAGAGGTTCTCTGTCTGAAAATGTGTTTGGAGTGAATGAAATCAAATGAATTTGTTCTCTCATGAGAATTGAAATTAATGTTGATCCATTGTGGTTAATCTAAGCTCATAATACTCTACCCCTGGCCGTGTTTTGGGGGGAATCTGGGAGACAGGTTTATCCTGTACAGCAGAGCAGTGTGCAGTGAATCTTTCACCTAAAACAGTGGGGAATCCTCCTCAATCACTATAAGGAGGTGCACTCATATTTTAACCACTAGCCCCACACCATGGGGCGCTGTGTAACAGCCCATCAGTGACTGTAACCTAAGCACCAAAATAGGTTTTTGACGATGTAACTAGTGTTGTTTTAAGAGCCCCTGTCTGTTATGCCCGGTGCCCACCCCCACAAAATATGATTTAATCATTTTTCTCACTTACTTTTCTCAGCATGGGAGCAAAGAGAAGGAAAGAGAGGGGAACTGAGAGGTGCTGGGGGAAGAAAGAGAGGAGCATTCCAAAGTGGTGAAGAAGGGGAGACATTACGGCAGAGATTTCCGCAGCAGAGTGGAGAAAACCTCTTACAAGGCACTTCTTAATAGCATCTGGTGGCTGAAGCGGAGGCCAGGCTACTCCTCTTGAGAAGTCCTCCGGGTGAAAATCTGAGCAGGCTTTTAATCAAGAGGCAGCAGACGTTATACAAACAAAAGCTTGTGCTGATGTCATCCCAAAAAATCTGTCCCATTAAAACTCTGCTCCATCATTCACATTCAGATTTTTCTTTTTCACTGCATGTGATGCATCATACTTCATATCATAGAAAGCATTGTACCACCCAAAGAGACTTCCCAAATTGGAGAAAAAGAATAACTTCCATTGAACTGTATTAATATTGAGTCTATCTGCAAAATACCACACAGCAGCCTTGTTTTGTTTTATTTTGTTTTACTAATTTTGTTATGATAGCAAACATAATTATGTTAACTGACAACATGTTTACCAGTGCAGGAGGAGGGGTGTTTTTCCTACCGCATGATGTCAAAGCACATGATTTTCATTCCAGAGAAGAGGGTGTGCATCTTCGCATCTTGACTCCTGTATGGTTAGATTTAGGGAATGCTTTGGTTAAGGTTGTGTTAATATAGTAAACATGCATAAACTGATATTATAGGGAAAATAAATGAACATTGTCAGCGAATGTTCTGCACCTATTATATTGTGTAAAATGAGGTCAGTAAAACTTGAGTAGTTCTGAAAGAGACCTGGGTAGATTAGACTAGAGCACAGAAATCAGATCAAATATTAACAAGTCAGCTTGAACCTTACTTGAGACCTGCTGTGGACAACTAACCACCCACATGTTTAAAACCTCAAGTGACCTCAATGTGTTTAAAAGTTGGAATAGCTGCCACCTCTGCTCATCTCTTCCCACCCCACTCTTCTCTTTGGAAACACATTGTTCCCACACCCTGCATGCCACAGTGGTTGACTCCCACTTTAGAGCTCTGAAGCACTGTGTACATATGACCACAAGTGGTGTTACTGTTACTAGGGATCACCTTACCACTGCCATCAGTTATATGTCTGACAGAGGCCTAGTGTGGGCTAATGGGAGGATGCTTTACTGTACATTATCCTTAAAATGGTCTGCTCTGTCTTGATGTAGGGTTTCTGTAGCACAGCTCAAACTGACTGGTATACCTTTCCTAGAAAGCAAATGTTCTTGCACTTTTGTAAACAGACCAAATCATTTGTAAAGTAACTATCTGTACCTGCATTGTCTTTCTAGCTTTACAACACTTTGTCTGAGCTTTATTTAGAGACCTTTTGATCCATTTTTAGCCATTAAGGGGCACAAAACATGTGCCCCTTAATGTCAAAACATCAGCAGCTTATCAAGTTGTTGAATTGGCTACCATATGTGGTGGAGATTCTTGTCCACTTCACCATTGTTTCATTTGCTTCCATAGGAGAATTAGACAGTCTGCAGCTTGTGACATTCAAAGAAAATCAGTTGGACTCTTCTTCTTCTTCTTCTTCTTCTTCTTCTTCTTCTTCTTCTTTTGATTTACAGGCAGGTGGCAAACCAACTTGCAGGTACTCAGTTTGACTGAAACCTCCACTGAGAATTTCATGTCTGTACTTCCAGGTTGTACCATGATCTATGATTGGTTAGGGTGGGGGATTAGGAGATACATGTGTGTGATGAAAAGTGTGTTCCCAAAGCTGGTTGTTGTGTGGATGCTTGGTTTAGTGATTGCATAACAATTTATGATGGAAAGTGTATATATGCATATCTTTTTGTACAAATTTGTATGCATGTATAAAGTGAGCTCCCCCGCTGGCCACTGGTGGTTTGGCCCACTTTAGGTTTCTACTAGGAAGTTATACAAGGAGTGGTTGCATCAGGTGTAGGTTTTTGCCAGTAAACCAAGAAGAAGGTTTAGAGTGTTCCTTCTCATGGAGCTACAATAAAAGCCCAGACAACAACTGAACTAATATTTATCTCCATTTCCCCACATGTCCATGGGCCATCATGATGAGTCAGCAAACATCCAACAGACACCAATCAACATTAGCATTCATTTGGAGTTGTGCTTGTGCCCACCTGACACATGTAAGTTAAATACTTATTCTCCTTTTAGCTGTTTTGTCCTCTTGGCTGTTGGCTTTGTTTGTTTGTTTAGTGTCTGTTATGAAGTGGCTTGAGGTTCAGACAAAAAGGAATGAGCACAGGCATGTGGTTAAAATCAAGTATTTACTAATTATTACTAATCTATTTACTTAAATCAGTGGCATGTGGAAAATCTTGGGACATTAATAATGTAGGAAGGTACATGAATGAATGAAGTATGTTGTGTGCTGAAAACTAACAAAGCAAACAGAGTGGAAGTGAGCAGGCCCAGTTGAACCTCCTCCCAGGGGAGGTGAAAACAAAAAAACAAAAACAAAAAACAGTTTGTAGAGCTGCAGAGACATGAGGCATCTTAACTTGGTACTGTAAGAAAGCCTTTTCCTGTGTCAAAATCAGAAATATTGATCAATGCAGGTTAAATTTCACAACTTCTTGCCTTGAAGTAATAATGTGTCACATCCTGTCTCTAACTATGATAAATGAACGACAGTTAAAGGTCAACACATAATAAACTGCGCTGTCTCTGCATTAGGTTTGCCTGACATTATCAAGCTCAGATAAATATATTTTTCATCGATCTTGGACAATAGGTCACAGGCTGATAGTTTACCTTGTGAGGTGAACTGGTGCCATTTAGAAGGAGGTTGTTGCCAGTGCTCATTTCCTGGAAACCAGCCACTCTCACTTTTGTGGGTCGTCTCAAGAAGGTAAAAGATCTTTGATGCCGGGTTTCTCATAACACAGTCTTGGTCCTTCACACTGTGCAGCTCCTTCTTTCATCCCTTTACCTACCCGACCCGCACTAATAATGACGAACATCATTTATGCAAATGTAATTAGGCTGAGGAACATGATAGCACGGTGCAGGGTGCCAGTGGAAATTTATCACTGAACACTCAGGCTCTAAACATTCAATTAAAATATTGAATTTCACTAGATTGAATCTAAATGCAATAAATTAAGCAGTGGAGGAAGGGTTCGCAGTAGAACAGACTGACATGTGGCTGTCAGTATCACACTCTGAGATGGTCACAGATTCTACTACCAGTCTCCAAGATGCAGAACAGTAGACAGAGGAGCAGGAGAGGAGGTGATATCTGGGTCAGTGTTTCAGCTGCTTGGAGAGGTTGGGCTGTCCCACTGAGACAAACTAGTACAACTCAAAAAGAATTTGATTAATTTTCAATGTTGATATGTAACTTTTATATTCACCTGTAAGAGTTCTTGCTTGCTTTCACTAAAGTCTCTTTGCACTCGTTTTCTCATGAAATACCACCAGAGAATCAGACATTTGGTAAAATAAGTAAACCCCCAGTGAAAGGATCTGACAACAATGCAAATTTGTGAGATCAGTATGTTGTTTTAAATTCTCAAACAGCATGTGCTTGTTTTTTCTAAGTGACTTTGGGAGATAGAGATAATGATAGAGATGTGTTTCCAAGGTGATACATTTTTCACTCTGAAAGTGACGACGTCAGGAGACTGTTTCAGTGGCTCTCATAGCTTTATGAAAGTTTATCTCCACATTTAGGCACACGCAGGCCTGACCCTACCAACCCAAACTGGAACGTATACCCTTTGTCCTGAGATCTGCTTTGTTTTTACTGCCCTCAGGCTTCGGAGGCATCTCCAAGTATAGCATTATATGCATGGTCAGTGAGTTGACCAGGGGCAAAGTGGCGAAGACATCATATTTCTACAAGTTTGAGTTCTGCTTGTTCATCAGCTGTCTGATAAATGGTTCATTCAGTTCAATCCAAAGAACTGCTGGGCTCTTGACAGCTGAACTCTGTTTGCTGTGAGACAATATTTGTGTTCTTCTCTGTTTACTTACAGAAAACATGGCTGCCTGCATGCCTTGACTTCATGATAATAAGCTGCTGTTGTTCCAGTTTACTTAATATCACATTAGAATTTCATCTCAAGGGACTAGAGGTTCAGTATGAGTGAGAACTTTGTATGTTTAATGAATAAGACTGGGGATACAAGTGTTTTAATAGTTACATTAATACTCATTTTTTGTCCCTTTGTATATTGTGCATAATATCAAACATGACCTGATTTTTCTTCCATTTCTATAACGCCCCTCTGGATCTAGATGGTATTTTGTCTCATTTTGCCCTGTATTTGGATGTAGGAGGCATGACTCATTGCTACAGAAAACTAGGGAGACAACGCGATGATATCCTTTAAGGATGCTTTTAACACATAGGTATGCCACTTTAAATGTAATAATTATCAATGTAAATACATTTTCACAGCTACTAATTCATATTCACAGCTAAACCTTTTCTTTTATTCAAAGAACATATTTATGCTTAGCAAACTCAGTCCAAAAGTCTTTGTTTCTATCTCATAATGCTTAAAGTGAAGATATTAATGTCGGAATACACTACATGGCCAAACCTAGTTGCATAGATTTGCTCTCGTTTAGCGACAGGAGCATTAGTGATGTTGGGTGATGAACTCAGTCAGTATTCCAGTTCATCTCAAAGGTGCTGAATGGCTTTGAGATTAAGGCTCCAGTCAAATCCTTCCACACCAAAAGACAAAAGCTTTTTCTTTATGAACCTGACTTTGTGTACAACCATGTTAATATGCTGAAACCAGAAGAGTGTTGTCTAAATTTGCTGCATGTGGTGGCATTAAGTTTGTCCTAAATTGGAAGTAAGAGTCTTGCATAACTAGGAAAAAGGAAGAATATGTGGACAGGTTGTCTACACAGATTTGGACATACGGTGTATGAAAGTTATATCAGCAAACTCTAAACGGTACAGTCACATTCATGTAACACTGTTGTGCTAGCAGCCAGTAAGAAGATGACACTTGTTGTTAGCGATGCTGGGTAGCTGCTGTGTGTACCACTTGAACCAGAACTTTTCTGAGATTAATCCATTATTAACTCTAATCTGGACCTTGGATCTACAGTCCGACACCAAACACCGGTCCCACAGCCATCGATAGCCTGCCATGATTTATTTATTTCTAATTAGCTGCTTTTAATTCAAAATAATGTAACTATAGACTGGAATAGACATAACCATTCCTGCATTTAGGACAGTGTTTAGTCTGGGATACTGAGATTGATCCACCTCTCTGTATTTGATAGTGCCACTATCCATTATTTACTGAAGATCAAGTTTTAAAACAGAGTTGCTGTGCAGTTTTAGTGAGCTAGGAAATGTAAAGATTTCTCTATAGGGATTTTTTTTGGTGCTCTTTCTCTTTCAAGCAGTCACCAAATGGTTTAAACAAATGGTACACACACAAAAGGAGGATTATGGGGAAAAAGTAGCTGAAAAACTTTGTGGGAAAGATTGTACCTTGTATGTTGCATGAAGCTGTGTTTTGATAATATCTACCTAAATATCAAAATATGAGTAACGGCATATCCTGTGAGAGAAATTAAGTATTTTAATTGTGAAAATCTTGCAGTGTCTAATACTTTTGCAGCTGTTTTCCAGGACTAGACTTTATGACTCACTATATAAATATTTTATCTGCACCATAAATATAGCTCCAGTCTATGATGTTAACTTTGGTCCAGTGCTTATTTTGGATCATCAAGAGAGCTACAGAGAGTGGATTGGTTTTGGCTCATCTATCTCTTTCGTTTTTCACCTCTCAGTTTCTGTTTCTGGTGACACAACCATTTGTTATTAGCAACGCAGAAGGGAAACACTACTGCAGTGAGCAACAAAGTCAAACAGATGATATTGTATATAAAGAATATGTTATGTGTTCTCAGTACAACATGTTGCCATGTCATTAAATATGTAATTCTGGGCCTTTCTTTGCTCTCATGCAAACTTTCGATGATACTAATGTCTGATTTGTAAGATTCTGTGGGTTGTTTTTTTTTTAAGGATTTATTTTGGATGCCCAGAATTTGCAGAGGTTTGATTGATGAATTTTAATTGATTATTTTGGATCCTTCTTTATTACTTGGTCTTTCCTCCAGTTTGCATTAGCCTTCAAATGATTCCTTTGCAGCTGTTGTTTCTGCACATTCCTCAACTTAAACATGAGACATTCACTAATTACTGGGTCATTCTTATTAATGTATGCCCTAATGTTTTATTTACCTGACAAGACTTTAATCAGCTCCCTGATTTCCTCTGTTGTTACACACCTTACCTTGAAACATAGTCGGTGTATATCTTCTTATCTGACACTGCCCACTGTGTTTGCCAGCCAGCTGCCAGCAGGAGAGCTGGATGTGGCAGACAGGGTAGGGGAGGATGTGTTCATTTGTGTGTGTTCATGCAAGTTTGCAGATGTAAGCGTTTTGGGATGGTGCCTTTGTGCAATGTTCATGTATACATGCATGTCTCTGTGTTTGCATGTGTGAGTGTCAATGTGTGTGACAGGTGCCAACTCCTGTGTCAGGGGTGAAGTCACACCCTCCCACCTCAGCCTTAGGTGTCTGCAGAGGTTCGTATCAACTCAGTAAGTGACAGGGTGAACACCTTTTACCACCCAGCCCCCCGATATCATTAGCCTTTACGCTAACAGCAGGCCCCTAGACAACTTGGGAAAATGGGGAGGGTCATGAGCAATTATTGAGCACGTGTTTTTAGCGATGCATGCAAATGTAAGCACTGTGCATTTGCAGCTGGAATATCAGTAATAGTGTGCTGGTTTAGATGCCAACAGAGATGACTCCTATTGGCGAAGATGTTTACAGAGTGATACATTTAGGGGATGTGTATCAGCTGCTTACAGCTGAATGTGTCACCATTTTAATTAATCAACATTCATAACATCTAGGGGTGTAATCACACCTTTAGTGTTTTTGGGTCTGAGCTACATAGAAAAGTTTTGTTTTTCTTCACTAGTTATAGGAGAAAAGATCTTAAAAACAGCAGTAGTGATACTGTATGAACTCAGAAGTTCCTTTAACGGTTTAAGGTTTAGAGAGTTTAAGTTTAAAAGAGATGTAATGGAGTGATTTGCTTAAAGTTACTCTCTGCTATTGAGGGCCATAATAAAGAGAAGAGAACAACCGTACATCATTATTTGTTTCAGTGCCGTTATTTGGCGGAAATCATAGAGATGTAAGAAATGAGTGCATGGTTAAAATCAACATGTCAGCATCTGGTTTCTTTTCTAATGACCCAACAAGGTGCTACAATAATACCTACATAGTTCTTTATTCATCTGTTGTGATCTACTCTTACCACATCCCAGCTGCAACAGCTTCTCTTTTCTCAGTATAAACTCAGCTGCAGCATCACTGAGCAGTGATATGTCTAAAGTCCAAACAAAGCAAGGGATTTGGCAAAGACATTTAAAATGTGTTACAGAAATCATGCTCCATGCAGAGTATTATACTAAATCTTGTCATTTACATTGTAAACAGACAGAGAGAGAAGGATCTTTTTGCATGTGTTTCCATCAAACTCCATGTTGCATCATTCAGGACTTAATATGGGCATAAGGTGTTGGCATTTCAAACTGCCAGCCTGTCACGTCCAGTTCAAGTATCCATATCCTGATAACGATCTCATTCAGTTTAAGCTTTTGTACAAACACCACAGATACTCTATAGTCCTTTTTACATTGCTTGCTCAAGGCAGGACTATGGTAGCATTTGTCCATTTTGCATTTGAGTTTGAACTGAGTTGTAAGACCAGCAAAAGCGCATCAAACTTTGTTTCACCTCCCACTGTTCTGAAAGAGGCTCTGGTATGCTTTGTATTTCCAGTGCGTTATACTTTACACCTTTATCGGGATGCAGACAGCTACTAAAAGAACCCCAGGGCAACATCCTGCTGGCTTTGTTTGGTTTAGTGATAAGAGTCATCATTTCAATACAATGAAGGGAATAATGGTTCATACAAATATAATTGTGTAAATGTAATGCATGGATGTGCAGGTGTATATATTTAGCATTAACTATCTTTAATTTACATTTGAACTGATATGATGTGTGTCTGCATGCGTGTAACAAAAAGCGATGCCATTTCAAATATTTATATCAGGTATAAATGATGTGTAATGTCCATTTGACAAATAGAACAGGTGGCTAAAATGGTTTTCAACCTGCTCTGCAGCCGCCAAAATCATTCTTTGTCAAATTCCCTTTCCAACTCCGGGGTCTCCTCTGGCTGTGGTGTCACTGTTAGACCCTACAGTATTTATTTACATTGTCTTTCTCTCACACATTCCTTCCCAGTGAGCCAGGCCTTGGGCTGCCAGCGGAGGATGTGAAGCCAAGCCAGGGAGCCGAGGCCACTGTCAACTCTCAGTGGTTAGAATAACCCAGTAAAGCCTCCTGGGAACTGAGCTGGGACCGGGCCAATGCTGGCGAAGAGAAAGAGTGAGAGGTAAGACAGTAGATAGTTCTTTTTTTGAAAAGAGAGTTGAAGGAGTAGCTGAGCCTAGTGCAGCAAAATTTATTAGTACATTTACCTCATAAAATTTGACTTCATGGGTTTTGTCACTGTTTCTGAATATAAATTAAGTAAGAATGCTGCATCTATGGGAACATACTGTATGTGCCTGTCGTTCGGAGGTGGTCGCATTGTACTTATACTAGTGTGAACGTTAATGTCCTGACAAGGGGGCGCTCAAACAACAAGATACAGAAAATGTAGAAGTCAGGAAATGAAAATGGAAGAGATTTTGTGCCAGGCTCAACGCTGTTGAAATTTCCATCCTAGGACTGGTATTATACCATTTTATTAAGTGTTGATATTTTTCTGATGAAAAAGAAGCCATTTAGATTGGGTGGTCAGTTTAGCCATGTAATGCCAATTTAGAACGTTGCTGTGACGTTTTTGGAGACGTGAATACCTGTTATCAGACCGATTAGCAGGCAGCCCTGTCTTATTCAGAGCTGAATCAGATCATTCAGTCGGTGTGCAGGACATGTGGCTTTGTACAGCATGTAGCTGAGATTTGAGAAGTGTGCATGTCAGCCCATCTGCACCCATCAGTGACCAGCGTTTATCCATAAACTCCTTCGCTGTGTAGGGACACCTCATTGCCTACGAGTAGTCGGGACAAATATAAATTGAGCTTTACATGGCATTAACCCACCGTCCGTCAAGCCACAAAACTCGCTGAAGAAGTCGATTAAATTGAGCTGTTGGGTTTGCGTTATATCATTTGTATGTCCACATATGCTTGGCCTGTTGGTGTTTTTATCATGCTTCATCAACATTGATTTGACTATAAACACACCTTAGCCAGTTGTATTTAAAGCTTCTTCACAAGGTGCTTGAATATGATTTTTTGTGTTGAATTTCTCCACAAACATAATTTTTTGTGTTGCATGTCACGTGTTGCTACGTTTGACATTCCTGCCCACAATATTTTCATACACAATGGCAGTCAGGAATTTCTCCTTCACATTGTTGAGACATTCATGTCATGTGCCGCTGTCATCAGTGAAAGGGACGAGTTACATGACTGGCTCGCTGAGAGGAAAGTGATTCATTTCCACGCCCTTGGAATTATATATATGTTTTGTGCATGGCTTGATGCATACCATATTTCTTCAACTTGTAATAGGTATTATTAGATATTTTTCTAAATCAAAGTCAGACACTCATGAGAAATTAAACTTTTAGCCTTTGATATACTTAACATTAAACTTCATCTTCCACTGAGATAGGAATAAAATTGACTAGAAACAAAAATAAAAACAGAACCACCGCTGTGTTATCTGCTGCCTATTGCAAACTGACATGACTAGCAATAAAATGTCACATTATCTCAAATCTCTTCTTGCTCATTATCCTCAGGCTTGCTCACCCCTGTGTCTTTGACATGTGGAGACACAATATCAGTTTTTCTCATTACTTATTGGTCATGATCAATTAGAAACGTTTTAAGGCACTACGGTAACCTTGTACAAATACAAAGGTGGAGTTCAACAGCCATCATGGTTGACAATTAAATTGGTCTGTCACTGCTGGGGCCTTCATTAATCTCAACTTGTCATTCTTGTTTATGCTGGTTTTAATGGTTTGTGGGTGTATGAGAGGAGTCGGCGTGAGTGTGTGTGTGCACAGAGGAGGAGAGGTCAGATCAGGTCTGAGAAGTTGGAAGTTGTGTGTACATATGTGTCATATGCACATGTGTGTTTATTTGCATTAATCTATACATGTCCATGTGGAGGAAGTGTATATTTTCTGTGTGTGCACGAGCATGTGGTATATGGAAATCTTTTTAATCACAACTGGTGAGTTGAAGCCAGTTGGCACCCTGAAACGGTTACCTCATGTGTCCTTGAGTATTTTCTAAATTGCTCAGAAATGTTTAGAGCCTCTCCAAATGACTTTCATAATTGTGCAGTAGCGTGGCCATTTACACCATGTGAGAAAAATTCTCTTCCCTTAGACCTGCTTTTACGTCGACTGGAATGGACAGAAGGCTCTTACAGTACAGCATTTTGTGTGGTGTTGCATTTTCTTGAATCCTCTCACTGTTTCCCCTCACATTTTCCTGAGGGCACATTCCCTCAGTATATAAATATAAGAGATAAGTTAGAGCCCAAGTATTTAATTTAGTTTTGGTTAATGGAACAGCAGTGGGCTCTCTTACAGAGTCACGTAAGCACCGGGGAAATAAAACACACTCACAAACACACTTTGCCTGGAAACAATACTTAGACCAATATACATACAAATGCAGTCTTATGCTGCTGACCCTTCACCTGCTGCTTCGCTGTCTTCTGACCCTCCCAGTATGACCCCCTCGCCCCTTGGCAAGAGGGTGGCTTGGCTTTGGTCACATCCCCCCGCTCCCCGTCATTGTTTCTGGGTGAGTGTATCTGTCTGGAGATGAACAAAGAAGCGTGCGGGCGCCCACGGACGTGGGCTTGCCCTGGTTTGTATTTACATATGAATGTCAGCACCTATTTTGTAACTTGTCTCTTATGTACAGCTTCCAACAGTAATGTGATGTGTGTAGACCTGTGTGCATCAGTATGTGTGTGAGGAGGTTAATGAGAGGCGGCGAATGAACTTTCTGGCTTAATTCTGCAAGAAGTGATGCCAATGTGTTTTGAGCCAGTACTTCTCTGTTGATGAATGTGGGATTTTATTTCTTGTAAAACTTTGCAGTCACTAAATACAAATGATTGATGATGAAGAGGCCCATTTTTTACTCTCTGACTGTTTTCCTTTTGTCTTGTGAGCTCGCTGAATCTTTTGATTGAGATGTGACTACTGAGGAAAGCAAGGTCATGTTTGTTTTTTCAGCATAAACTGCCTAGAAACCACCAGAAGTGCTCTGTTATGTTGGTGACTACACTCATGTTTCTTTTTTCTAGCTAAGCACAATTTTACTTTTTCAGTTTAGGTTTAAAGCTCATGTCCAAGTAACTGATATAATTTTCCCTCTGTTATGAATTTAAAATATAAAGTTTGAGGTCTAGAGTCAACTGACTTAAAAACTTAAAACCTTTTAAAGGTTAATGTCAACACTAATATGTTATATTTTACTTGATTTGAAGGAAGACATCTCAGCAAGTAACCGTGATTGTTAGTTTAATGAGGATTATATTACAATAGGAGCAAAAGCCTAAACCGTAAACACCTTAACATGACGAAATGAAAACTTTAGGTCCAGTCAGATTCCATATACAGTATAATTTTGTCAACACATAATAAATATCTGTAGTTGTTAAAGCAATGACAAATGTAAACTGATGAAAAGACGATAAAGACAATAAGTTATTTAATTAATAAGACCAATAAATAAAGACAAATAAATGGATTTGTTGATTTAGAGCATATTTAGTTAGAAATAAATGGATAATGGAATAGACAGTTGTTACTTTCTGTTCCTTTGTCCCTAATTGCTGCCGAGAACAGACCCGTGAATGGTAATGAATTGAGAACATTTGCACATGGCGTTTTTTTTTCCTTTTTTCTTAGCAGACGGTTAGTGTCAGCCATCAAGTCATGTACCTTTTGATTGGTGTGCATGCACACACACACACACACACACACACACACGAAACCATAATTAGCAGGGTGTCTATGCTTGAGTGGTTGTGTGTTGAGCAGTGGAGTGGACAGTGAGGAGGAGGAGGAGGGAGGAAGGTCACGCTAATGTGTGAGGACTCGTCACAACCGTGGGTGACTGGCATGTGGACCCAGAGGACGGAGACACTCTTGGCTAATTAGGAATCCCTAATGTTAAGCGTTGGCTCTGTGTGCGAGCATATGTAAATGCGTCTGTAGCCACGGTGCGTGTGACTGCAGAATGGTAAGCAGCACTGAAAGGTGACAGATTATTGTGGGTTCACATGCTTCTTAACCTGTGACATATTATCAGTTTGTGATGTCAGTCAGTATACTCCAGAATGGTGCTTCCCTTGGATTTTTTCTGGATCTTTACATTACTTAACTTCCTGTCATGAGGCTAAGAAGCTTCTCTTGTAGACTACACAAACCCCACTTTCTCATTGCAGACTTTGTATTGTGTTCATTAGAGGACATAGTGCGGATTCTGTAAACCTCTCTGAAGCCTGTTGTCTATTGCAGACATCTGGTCTGACTCTTATCGTGCCCCTTAACCACTGACTGTATAGCTCAAAGCATCTGAATGATAGAACTTCTTGTGAGATACCAATTCAGGGGAAAAACTATGAGTTCCAGAGAACAGGTGAAAACTTGTTTCAGTCAGGTCTTGCCTTAGGAGAAATAATATTAATAGCTAACAGTTTTGAGTCGGGGTTCCTGTAGATGTTTGGCATATGCTCCATCACTCTTGTCTCATCTTTTGTAATTGAACTTGATGTATTTGAATGGGTACGTTGTCCCTGTTACATCTGTAGGCAGGTCCTTATCAGGGTCGCTGGCTGGTAATTGGAGGGAGCTGACTGTGATTATAAGTTCTATTTTACACCACCCATCGTATCTGCATAGCCACGGGACAGACCTGCAGCTCTGTGTCTGGAACTGGGGTGGTAGTGTATGTATGATGCATGAGCAGTACTCACACATCAGTGAATGTATAAACACATATGGATAAACACACACAGTTACCCCATGCCTCCATCTTCTCTCTTGTTCCAGCTGAGTAAGGCTAGGCCCACATCATTTCACCTCAGGGTGCCTGCTGAGGTCAGAGGCCATGTGTAATGGCCCTGTGCATCTCCCAGCACAGTAAGCCTTCTCCAGGAGCTGACACACTCCACTACTCCCTTCGCCACCTCCCAGCCCTTTTATCAAAGTCAATACAAAGACAAAGAAGTGTGTGTGTGTGTGTGTGTGAGTGCGAGTGTAAGCCAGACAAAAGATCACGTTTAGAGTTTCAAGTTGCTGAACCACAGGGTGGGAAGAAGCTACGGCAAGCCCAGCACTTGCTA